ACAGAGAAAGTAGCAAATAGAGTTGCCATTGTTAATTAGCTAATGCAAACAAAGATAAACCTTTCATGTTGAGGGTACAATTAATTTAGAGAGGGGGAAGACTGAAGGCTTCAAAGCATGGGGGCACATCACACATTTGAGCTAGTCTGCATCCTGTGGGACATTTGGAGACTGTTGCTTTTGATATTACACATGTAAGGATGATCTCTATTAAAGTATCCATCAGTGAAAGTGACATTGTCAAACCACTCACAGAAAGTGTGGCAATATCATTTGCTAAACATAGCACAGAACATTGGGACAACGGTTGTGTAAGTGCAAGCAAAATTTACCACTATTAACTGCAAACATTCCTATTTCTTAAGAAAATGGCATGGCTGTGAGTCATTTGAACTAAAATGTCAGAATGGGGTGGGGGTGGGGTTTCTTGGTTTTTAAAATAATTTTTAAAATTATTTCCCAATTTAAGAAAGCTTAAGCGCAGTTGACAAGGTCATTATTTCTTCATGTTATGATCATAATCTTAAATTGCAATTCTGGGGTTCTTCTATTAAAATATGAATTCTTCCAGTGATGTTAAGGTAACAGTGTACATAGACTTTTCAGTATACATAAGTAAACCGAAACACACGTTTTCCACTAAAAATATAACTCTGATTTCTAAACATTCCTGATAAAATGCAATAGGATATTTAAAAAGGCCTACATACATATATTTTTACTCTACTCCCTTTGTGCACATACCAGCTCGCAGAATCTAAAGAAATAACTCCAACAGAACTGAAATGCCAGTACAAAAACAGTTTCCCCCTTAAGTTAAACCAAGAAATATATCTAAATAATGAATGAGAATTAACATGGACTGAAATAATGTTTGCCAATATGTGAAAGTCTTTCCCTAAAGCCAAACCAAGAAACTAACCCCAAATACATTTTAGAGCATCAACTCAAGGACATCTTTCCTTAAAAATTTTAACCAAACAATTCATCTTTGCCCAATCAACGCAACTTTTTCTGGCTTACTCAACTGTATTATAACTTCTAATGTTTGCTTTATAAATGAAACAAGAGTACAGTGCCTCTTCACATTTCAAACTTCAGCAATCTCTAGGTTGAACCCTCCAACACAAAGGGGAATTTGTTAATTAAGGGCATAATAATGACCACTTTACAAACTATCTGCCAAATGATCTTATATATTTAAGGTATATATGTATCTGATCCCTGTGCCTCAAGAAATAAAAATATAATAATTCAAATATATTAATGAAACCTTTCAACAACTCAATTTTACCTTTTCAGACTATAGCTAAGAATAAAATAGCAATAAAAGTACCATGACAATATCATGTAGGAAGATAATCAGTTAATTTCAATAATGATATATTCATTTTATAGACTGTATATATTTGTATACACGATACAGAATAATACTAGGCAACCAGTCTTGAGAACAGTTACTTTAAAGTGATGGTTGAATTCTACCAGAAGATTGTGATAAGATAGGCTCAATTTAATCTCATGGATTCTTTGTCTCAGAACACACTTTGCAATTATAACAGAACAATTACCACTTGAGGAAAAGGTTATTTTCCCATAATTATTTGAGTGATAAGAGAGGAAGTGTGGGAAGATGGAATCTGACAAAGATCTAAAGATGTTATGGAACAATTTTAAAAACAGGAAGAAGAAATGTAGGAGTCCTACTTTCTACATGATAAAAGCTCATGGCAGTATGCTAGAAATAGATTTGACTAATAACCAAGGCACGTGCTTTCACGTGTAGCCCTGCTTCCTATTGTTTAATAATAGCACTGTTTTTTTTAAATAACTTGCTTAGTATTTTAAATATTATTAAATATTTTAATAATATTTTAAACCTTTCCAGCTTTGCGGACACAAATGGAGTATGTGCACACCTGCTTGCCCACTGCTCATGCAAGTGGGGGATGCATACCTGGGTGCTTGCCTGAGGCTTCTGCGGCCTGGTTCTGAACAGCTCAAGGCCCAGTAGTGGACTGTGAGCCAGGGGTTAAGGGCCTCTGTTTTAAATCACTACAGATATCCCCGTATTTCTACCTTTCTGACTGTTCAATTCCCTAACTGTTGTTTATCATCACAAGAAGTGCTTGTACTTCTGGTTCTGAAAAGTCGTACTGCTTTTGTTCATGACTGGGCCTCCCAGCAATGTTTGCCACTCAGCAGAACATCCAACCATTTCTTTATCGAACGCTAAATTGGGTGGAAGACAAAGGCTTGCTTTACTCTCTTTGCAGAACAAATGAGTCTTCACGGGATCTCTGTAGTCATATATTTGAATTAATTAATTAAATGTGATAAGCTTGTTATTGAGAGTTTTGCAGCGATTATTCAGTGCCAGAAAAATAAACACAGATGGCTGGTGCTTCATTTAACATCTTTATAAACGTAAGTAAATTTTACAAGCCAGTTGTAGATTTCTCCAACATGGAACAAACTCAAACAGAAACATATTGCAAGTTCAGAGCAGAGCTCCAGTCTTCAGCAAGCAAGCTAAGGTTCATCTTCAATAGACAGACTCAGAGCTCAAGGTAGCTTCAGAGCTTAACATAGCTACAGAGTTGCAGAGCTTAATATAGAGCCACACCTAGGCTACTTTTAGTTTCAGTTTCCAACCTAGGCTAATTCTAGTTTCAGTTTCCAAAACAGTCCTCATTGGCTGATTTAGTTGCCATACCTATTCATTGGCTGACCTTGTTACCCTGCTCTATTCCAGTTCATGAATATACTCTGACAGTTGTCCACTGGAAGACAATTCTAGAATAGGACAGAATAGAATAGAACAGAATATAATATAATAACAGAGTTGGAAGGAACCTTGGAGGTCTTCTAGTCCAACCCCCTGCTTAGTCAGGAAGCCTTATACCATTTCAGACAAATAGTTATCCAATCTCTTCTTAAAAACTTCCAGTATTGAAGCATTTACAAATTCTGGAGGTACGTTGTTCTACTGATTAGTTGTTTTAACTGTCAGGAAATTTCTCCTTACAATTTTTTTTTTCATAACTCGGCTTTTTGGATGGTGCACATTTTCTAACTGCCAAGAAATTTCTCTTTAGTTCTTGGTTTGTTCTCTTCTTGATTAGTTTCCACCCGTTGCTTCTTGTCCTGCCCTCGGGTGCTTTGGAGAATAGCTTGACTCCCTCTTCTTTGTGGCAGCCCCTGAGATACTAGAACACTGCTATCACCCCTGGTCCTTCTTTTAATTAAATTAGACATATCAAATTCCAGCAACCTAGGCATTATAAAGTGGTATTAACACATCACGTAATCTTGATTCTATCCCTCTGTTTATTCAGCCTACAACTGTGTTGGCTTTTTTGGCAGTTGTAGCACACTCATATTTAAGTGATTGGCCGCTAGGACTCCAAGATCCCTCTCACAGTCACCACTATTAAAATATATATATATTCTAGGTGGTGTATGGTTAAAAATACAGGTAGTCCTTGACTTACAATCATTTGTTTATGGAGCAAAATTACAATGGCACTGAAAAAGTAACTTATGACTATTTTTCACACGATTGTTGCAGCATCCCCATGGTCACATGATCAAAATTTAGATGTTTGGCAATTGGTTTATGTTTCTGATGGTTGCAGTGTCCCAGGGTCAAATGATCATCTTTTGTGACCTTCTGACCAGCAAAGTCAACAGCGAAGCCAGATTCCACTTAACAACCATGTTATCAACTTAACAATGCCAGTTATTCACAATGGCAGCAAGCAAGATGGGGCAAAATTCATTTAGCAGCTGTTTTGTTCAGCAACAGAAATTTAGGGGTCAATTGTGATCATAAGTTGAGGACTACCTGTGCTGGTAAAATAGAGATGGGAATACAAACAGGAAACCTCAGATATCCAGAAGGAATAAACATTCTGATCAGTGGTGGGATTCAAAAATTTTTACTACCGGTTCTGTGGGCATGGCTTGGTGGGCATGGGAGGGGAATGATACTCTAAAATCTCCATTCCCACCCCACTCCTGGGGGAAGGTTACTGTCATGCTCCTGCTGGAATCTGATTCCGAGGGAGAGGTGGAACAGCTGACAGGGTGTGGGAGTGTGGCTCCAGTGGCTGTGGAGGAAACTGGGGAAGGGCACGGGCCAGCTGGGCAGTCAGAGGAAGACCCAGGCCTACCCTCTCTTTATCCTAAGGCATGCAGGGAGGAACGGATAAAGGAGTAACATGAGTTGCATGGTTTAGGGGGGAGGAAAAGGCCCTGATCTCCTTCATGGGCTGCAGCTGGGAAGACTGTTTAAAAGGGCAAACTGCACATGGCAAAATTGCTGGAAGCAAAGTGTGAAATTATTCTGGTTTGTCAAGTCTTATTTGAGTTCTGGGATCCGCCCACGTGTGTGTATTTTGTTATCTTTTGATGTGTTCAATACCTTATCCTGCCCTGTCTCATTAATTGCTGCAGTGTGGTTTTTGTTCGTTTTTATTTATAATTTATATGTATGTACTTGGAGTTTGGATGGAATTTCTTCCCTTTAAAAACTGTTCTTCTGAGAGTTTTTCCTCCACTGGAGGCCAAATTGGAGGAATTAAAGGGACTTTACCTATTTTTGTGACTTTGTTGCTTTTGTGCCACACCCTGGCTCATCCCAGTTACTGTGAAATCCCATTCCACCCCACCAACCTGCTTTCCAGCTCCATTCTCCTGTGCAGGGCAACAAAAGAAGACCCAACCAATCAGCTGGGACTCAGGAGGCAGAGTATAGATGGGGGCGGGGCCAGTCAGAGGTGGCATTTGCCATTTCTCTGACCTACTTAAAATTTCCATTACTGTTTCTCCAGAACTGATCAGAACCTGCTGAATACCACCTCTGATTCTGACCAAAAGAAAGACAAGCCAAGTGTACAAGATTCTTTTAAGCCCACTCATGTTGGAGGTTGAATAAATCTGGGGAAGGGGAGTGAAGGAAAAAGGCAATTGCTGTGCCAGAGAATGCACCTTTTTTATTCATCCAAATCTTTATTTGCAGAAGTATATGCAAATATACAGCAAATATACAGCAAAGTATTGATTTACACAGACTTCTCCATCAACTGAATTATTTTGAAGAACATTCGTTGGGGAGCATTGAGTCCCCAGATTAAATCCCAGTGGGTCCAGTCTGCCCATGAGCAATGGTAAACCAGGTTAACAATCCCAGAAAGTAAGAGCTCTATATCTTTTGGGTCTGCAACTGTGTCTTGTCCCCCAGACCACACTGCTGTTGGCACCGAGAGATCTTTTATTTGATATGAAGGAGGAGAGCTCTAGAAAGTAAAACAAGGGAATAATAATATCGATCATTATAATATAGTGTCAACACCGAGTTGCAATCACAGGCTTCAGGAAATAGCTACGTTTTTCATATGGATCGGATGTTAATTGTCACTTAAATGGCAGGATGGGAATGAGGGGAGAGAAGAGAAAGAAGATGAGACTGAAAAGGTTATTTTCATTTACTCTTTCATTGTTATATTCATTGTTTGTCATTGCTATCTTTCATGCCCAATGGAGGAGTTCATAGCATCTCCTTCTTAAAAAAAACCTATGACAGTAGGTTATATGCATGCATAGCTGTATGTGCGCATTCTTTTTTAATAGAGGAATAGCAATAATTGGAATGGACACAGTGGAAATATTTCCCAAGAAGGAAAATGTAAGCCAAAGTCATAATCAAAATGCCTTTACCTAAACAAAGCATCTGTATATAAACAAAGTACCTTTACATAATCAAATAATCTTTTTTTTTAAAAAAATGGGTATAGTCATTGTGCTGTCCAGACAGTATATAGTTAATTGGGAATTGAGATAGTTAAGTTAGAAGTGGGAGCTGTCCCCTTAAGGGAATGCCTCATGGTAAATGTACTTAATGCACCATGGGAAATGTAGTTCATGTCATGTGGTCACATCTGTAATCCTGATTGGTTTGGTTGGGGGATTTTCCTTTACTCTTGCTTGGACCCCAGCACCATGCTGGTGTCTCTCTCACCCTTTGCTCCAGCATTATGGGATGAAGATCACTATAATTTTACACTATGAAGTTAGCTATGCAAAGAATTGGACATTAGATGGATCTCGACATAACTGTGAGTTATATTTGAGGATGCCTTGTAACCCAGTAAAGAAACTTTGTATGGAAGCCTTTATAGAGTATGTCTGTCTGTCTTTATATTCAGCCAGCAATTAAAAGACAGAACAGCCATGTCAAAGTTAAAAAAATTTACCCTTGGTGTTGGTATATGGGCTTTTAATTTATATATTTGGGGTTTTTTTTTTTACCCAAAGCCTATTATAACACAGGTTCTTGATATAATATTCTAATTATTTCAAACCATCATATTTATTTTCCAAAAGCTTTCCCTGTTACCTGTTTATATATCATCTGATTTTTGTCCTCATAATCAAAATAGCGGAACAATCCTGTATCCAGAATCTATCAAAAGCATCAGATAAAGCATTAGATACTATATACATATAGTATATCCCCATTTCTGTGATTATAATCACAGCAAGTCCAAAGAACAAGAACAAAACAGGTAAAAGGAAGAAATAGAAAAATACGATAGTATATATTTTAATATTGGGATTAGAATCAAGATAACTCTTATTTCTCATTTGTGATCTGAGAAACTTTAGAGGAAAAGAGAAATGCGCTTCATATAAAACAATACAAATCAAGAGAAGCTGTTGAGCACTTGTAAGAAAAAAGCATTTCTTCTTTTGAAAAAGAATTCTCATTTTGGGCTTTATAAATAGAACTACATTTTAAATACTTCTAGCTGAAGAACACTTGTAGGGCAAATATAACATTTAAATGAATAATGAGACTTAATATTCTTTAATATGATAAACTTTCAAAGTCTGGTGCTGTTCTGGGATATTGGACCATAAATCTCATAAATCTCTGAATAATATTTGTAGGTTAGCACATCCAGAAAATAAGAGGTTGGGACAGGCAACCTAGAGAATCCTGGAAATTATTGCTATCAGCATGAGAGCAAATATCACATCTCAGGAGACCTTGATGGTTAAAACAGCATATAATTTAACTAAAGTTATTAAAGACATTATACCTGTTTCCAGTGTAAGATGGTTTTAACTGATGTTATATCTGGAAAGTGAGCTGCATATACATCAATTCGGCTCTGTAGGGATTTGAAAAGTCAGTAGATTTTTTAAAAAAAAAATGGTAAAAGGAAATATTTACTTGCATTGCTCATTTTTGAAAGAAGATGTAGCATCCTACTTTTACCAGAGCAAATAGGTTTTCTCATCACCTGAGAAATCATTTTAGGTCAGGGGTGTCAAACTGGCAGTCCATGGGCCAGATGCATCACGCGTAGGTCATGCCTACCCTCGCTCCACAAACAGGAAAAATATCACAAAATGTCATGTGATGGCAACATGACACGGTGAGTTTGACACCCGTGCCTTAGGTAATCCTTGTGTTATGATGGCAATTTGTACTGAGAACTCTGTTACTAAAAGTGATATTATACGATTGTGCCACAGAAATACAGCTCACTTTAGAATTGGGTAAATCTCAGTCAAAGATCATCTTTGTCTCACATCCCGCAATGAAACTCCTCCAGATTACCCACCAGTTTTGGTGTCCAAAGAAAGTGTGTCAATCCCCCGTAAACCAGGTAAGGTTCCAGGTTATGATCCTCCATACTCATAATGCTAAGATCCTGGTTGAAATAGTTTCAGCTTTGAAATTAATCACATTTATTTGTGGCTTTCCAAGGGCCAAAAATATCTAAATTTTGTTGCACAAAAATAAATAAAGAATACAACATTCTAACATTTCAGCTGCTATTTTCATTTATGAGAAAGATTTCATTTACAACTCTGCTAAAAGATTTTGTGAGACACATCATCAACTTTGCTTCATGATTGCTTCATAAAATGACCGTTTCTTGGCTGAACGCATAAGTAGGGAAATATTAATAAAATGCACAGTGCAATCCAATATCATGTTTCCAGTCCAATGTACAGTATCTTCATTTGGTTTATCATTCACAAAGAACTTCATTATTATGTATTGTTATTATGGGGTTAGATCCAGGGGCGGGCTTCAAAAATTTTAGCAACTGGTTCTCTGCCCGGTTGCTAGATAGGAGTGGCCATGGTAGGCGTGGCCTAGTCGGCCTCCTGCACCATGGCTTCACCCTACCCAGGCTCCAGAGGCTTTCCTTGAACCTCTAAGAGGGCAAAAACAGCCTCCCCTGGGTTCCGAAGGCCCTCTGGACACTAGAAATGGGCCCATTTCCAGCCTTCTAGAACTTCAGGGAGGCCCATTTTTTGCCCTTCCCGGGCTCCAGAGGCTTTCCTTGAGCCTCTGGGACGGCTAAAATGGCTCCCCAGGCTCCTGAGGCCCTCTGGAGGCCAGAAATGGGAGGCCTGTTTTTCACTCTCCCCAAACCTCCATGTGGGTCCTATACTTACGTGGCATCCAAAATGGGTCATGTGGGGATTCCTGGGAGGGGTGGGGTGGGCGGGGCCAGCCAGGAGTCAGATTTGCCAGTTCACCGAACCGGTCATTAAAAATGATAAAATTAGCTACCAGTTCACCCAAACTGTGGACAACCAGTTGCAGCCCTTCCCTGGTTAGATCACTATCAAGAACATATAACTGTGGGAGAGGGTGGGAGGATTTCAGTTGTTATCATATCCTTGATCTATAATGTCTCCATGATTCCTTCTCCAATGAAATTAGAAAAAAAAAAACACAGAAGAACAATAGTTATTCACTATGATTTTCCAAAGACTTGAGCACCTAGTACAATGTTATATCCTGGCTGTTATAAACTGTGGTGCTTTTTAAGTGACACATCTCACTTCTCAGCCATTTCAGCTAACTGTTCAAAAGCTGGACTAGTTAACTAAAATAGCACCATATTCTAGTAATGTCAAAAACTGGGAAAGTTAGTCTTACAGGAAATTAAGTAGCCTTTAAGGAATGAAGGACTGAGCCAGATTGAGAAGTTTAAGAATGGGCTATTCCCATCTCTCTTTTCATTGTACCCAAATTGTACATTGCAGCCAAACTACTGAAATAGTAATGTTACTTTGGGGATTATATTCTATGGGGCAGATTTATTGATATGAAATCTATGAGCCATCTGATTAATGTGAATACACATCCACGGATGGATGAGCACTTCTGTGGGGCCTACTACCTACTTCTCAGGAAACAACTGAATGAAAAACTGCTGGTGACCTTCTACTTCTGCGTTATTGAGAGTATTTTAACTTACTGCACCTGTGTATAGTTTGCCAATTGCACAGGGGCAGATAGGAAAGCACTTCAGAGGGTTAACATCATTGCCCAGAAGATTATTGGTTGCCCTCTCCCCTCTTTGGAAGAGCTTTATAGCTCCCGCTACCTTAAGAAAGTTCAAAACATTCTTAAAGATCCATCTCATCCTGGGCACCCCTTTTTATTTTTTTGAACTATTACTATCTGGGAGATGGTACAGAATAATTTAAAAAAGGACAAATAGGCTGAAAAACAGCTTCTATCCTGGAGCAGTAACTATATTGAATTCTACTGCATAGTGCAATATTAATACAATATCAGGGGTTGTCAATTTAATTGCATAGAATGCAAAGGATGTGTTTTTGTGTTTTATTTTTAAAGTTCTAATGTACACTGAAGATGGCATTTAATTTTGTTGTACGAGGTGCAATGACAATAAAGTAAACTACAGAAATTATTTCTATTGCTTTTTTCCTAAAATATTTTCTTTCTCAAAAAAAAATCTCTTTTTTTCAAATTAATGCTTCCATCTTTTGGAAGCTAACTTTTTACCTTGATAATGAAACCTTTGTAAAATTTAGAGAAGCACAACCAATGCAATATTCAGAGAAATATATTTCACAGGAAGACTTACTTACCATGTTTAGATTTGTTGTGTTGTAAGTATCAGGAAAAAAAATGAACTTTGCACATAATTTGTGCATAAATGCAATTGTGCATAATTTCTTCATGAAGTGTTTTATAGGATTCTGGGTATTTTTGTCACCGAATATTTGCTGTAAAAATAAGAAATAAATTAACAGTCAATTATGATGATGTTAATGATATTTAAGATATGCTCAACTTATCTGGTTCCTACTGAATTTTGAGCCAGCAACATTTGACTTATACAAAAATTACACTGATTATATAATGCAACAATTCTACTATTGCAACATGTAATTGCAAACAAGAACCAGGTCAGTAGTTAAAAGTCCTGGACTGGAAACAGCAGACTTGAATTTTAGCCCTTTGTGAAGCATGAAGGCCAGCTTTTTCTCAGCCATAGAATAAAAAGTTGAAAACATCCCGGAAGAAAGAAGATTTCCAACCCTTCCTTCCTTCCTTCCTTCCTTCCTTCCTTCCTTCCTTCCTTCCTTCCTGTCTTACATTCTGGTGCTTTGGAGAATAGTTTGACCTCTTTTTTGTAGCAGCACCTCAAATACTGGATCATTGGTATCAATGTCAGCCCTAGTCCTTTTCACTAGACTAGACAAACCCAATTCCTGCAACTGTTCTTCATAAATTGTAGCCTCCAGCTCCCTAATAATTTTTGTTGCACTTTTCTGAACTCTTTCCAGAGTCTCAACACCATTTTTACATTGTGGTGGCCAAAACCAGATACAATCTTCCAAGTGTATTCTTACTAAAGCTTTATAAAGTGGTACTAATACTACATGTGATCCAGTGGTGGGATTAGAATTTTTTTACTACCGGTTCTGTGGGCGTGGCTTGGTAGGCGTGACGGAGAAGAATACTGTAAAATCTCCAGTCAGAGGTGGTATTTGCCGATTCTCCAAACTACTCAAAATTTCCGCTACTGGTTCTCCAGAACTAGTCAGAACCTGCTGAATAACACCTCTGATGTGATCCTATTCCTCTGTTACTGCAAACCCATTTTAATAATCCCATTTTTAAACATTTTTTTAAATGTCTAATACCCTAGAAGACATCATATTTATTGAAGAAGTTAGAAAACTCTAAACAGAAAAATTTGAGAAACTGCACTTTTTCAGATATCAGTATGATTTATAGAAAGACAAGATTCCAACTTTGTTGCTTTTCCTTTTTCTTCCTATCTTTTAGAAAGGACTACACAATTCCAGCTTTTGAGCAGGTGGGCTGTTTTCCATTTGGCTTTTTTGCATTGCTCAGAATTATTCTTACCCTGAATAATTGAGCCTATATCTAGCATATGAATAAAACTCCATAGACAGGAAGTTTAGACCAAACAAACAAGCATCTTGTCTACTTCCCTGCTAATTTAAGGCACCCTTCCTATTTCAAATGTATCTTTACTCAATGCAGAATAAATAAACAAACAGTGTGTCAGTTGTCTAGATTGTGGAGCATTTTATTTGACTAATTATTTGTTGTGCTATCAATTGAATGAACACAAATACAGAGTTCACAAAATATCAGCCTACATCTAGCATGGGTAAATGCTGTATTCATCTTTGTGTTTTGTGCAAAATAATATAATAAAAATGATAGGTCCCTACTCTAATTCTTACTGGTATGTGACTGTTGGAATTGTGGTGACAGAAATTTGGGCATCCTAATTGTTTTTCTGTCATCTAACCTTTTTCAGTTCCATGAGTCATAAAAGAATGATCAATGAATTAATAATACCTTGAATGAATATTGAGGAAATGAGGACAACGATTTCAATAGATTATTTGGGACATATGTAGCATAGATCACAGGAGCTAAGGCAAGGAACATTCTGATTTTTTTAGACAGTTCTGGCATGGCTGAAAATGCTATGAAGCCTAAGAGGAAAAAAAAATAAGGAAAAAAAGTAGCCATTTAGAATTAAGTAGAATCTATTAGTAAGCCACTGACCTAATTTCATGTTGTATTCAGATCTATTCTGAAAGGTCTCTGGAAGTTGCAGGTTGCAATCCTCTTGTGAAAAAAGGTCTGATTCCAAGCAGTGGTGGGATTCAAAAAATTTTTACTACCGATTCTGTGGGCATGGCTTGGTGGGCGTGGCTTAGTGGGCATCGCAGGGCAAAGATATTGTAAAATCTCCATTCCCACCCCACTCCAGGAGAAGGATACTGCAAAATCCCTATTCCCTCCCCACCCACTAACCTGCTTTCCAGTTCCGTTCTCCTGTGGAGGGCAACAAAAGAAGACCAGCCAATCAGTGGGGACTCGGAGGCAGAGAATAAATTGGGGGTGGGGCCAGTCACAGATAGTATTTGCCGGTTCTCTGAACTACTCAAAACTTCCACTACCAGTTCTCCAGAACTAGTCCAAACCTGCTGAATACTACCTCTGATTTCAAGATAGTATAGCACTTAGCAATAGCACTTAGACTTATATACCACTTCACAGTGCTGTAAAGCCCTCTCTAAGTGTTTTACAGAGTCAGTATATTGCCCCCAACAATCTGGTGCATGACACATCCAGTCTGCGGTCTGCGAATTTGACAGGCCTGCTCTAGAGCCACATGGTCTAGTATGAAGAAAAATAAAAGGGAAAGGAATACTGGTAGAAAGAAAATGGGGAAGAGAGCAAGGGAAGGAGGGAGGAAAGCCAGTATTGTCATTCAGAACATGTTATTCCTATAGAAATGCAGCTCTTATAAAAAAATTAGGGGCTGTGTTTTCTTTCAGAACAATCTGTTGAGGGATTGCAATGGTGGTAATGGTGATTGGGACTGAAACACACAATAACGCTGGCATTCTCTTTCAGTTAACCCTTTTGTAATGTTTCTATTTTAATCCTTTCTTGACAACCTAATTTAACAGCCTGTCGGGAAAACAACAGATCACCCTGGTCAACTATCTGAATGAATCCCTCATAAATAGGTTTTGGAAGGTCCCTGTGGAATTGTAATGCAGTCCACAGGTTCCTTCAACTCCTGACTGCCTTCCTTGTCCTAAGTAGCTTCAAAAGTGAGACAGAAACAGGATTTTTTTCCCCAGGCTATTTTTAAACATTACCAGAAAAAAAAACACATTAGGTGTAGCCTCTGCTTCTTGTGATAATATGAAAGAACTTTTACATTAGCACCAAGATGGAGAGGGAGAGGTGGGGGAGAGAAAGAGAGGGAAAGAGAGAAGGAGAAGGAGAAACAGAGGAATAAAAGAGAGAAAGAGAAAAGCTTTTCCATTTTATCATACCAATAGTAGCGCCTTGAGAATAACCAACGTAGTATAATTGTTTCTGCTTAGTTTTCTTCAAAATAAAATTTATTGTTGCAGGAAGATCATACATGGCCATTTCATGGAAACTGAAATGAAATATTAAAATCTGTAATTGTTAATAAATAAGTAAGCAAATTTCACTGACAGCATTTCAAATATTTCAGTTAAAGCTGCCTTCCAACTCTCCAAGCCAGTCCAGAAGGATACCATAATTGATAGTGTCAAAAGCCACTGAGAGATTAAGGAGCATAATCCTGATCCAACTCTGCCTCAGGTTATCAACAAGGATGACAAATGCCACCCCCATACTTAAACTAAACCTAAAATTCAATTAAAATGGCCCCAAACAATTTGCTTTCTTCAGGGCCCTCTGATGCTGAAGACCAATCATTGTTTTCACCACCTTGCATAAAATGGGAAAACTGGCAACCACTGGATCCAGAGATCTCGTCTTGAGACATAAATCCACCATCACTTCTTTTAGAGCTAATTGAACCATCCTTTCCAGGAGTGGGATCCAAAAAACGTTTACTACTGGTTCTGTGGGCATGGCTTAGTGGACTGGCAGGGGAAGGATACTGTAAAATCTCCAGTCAGAAGTGGTATATTTGCCGGTTCTCCAAACTACTCAAAATTTCTCCTACCGGTTCTCCAGAACTGGTCAGAACCTGCTGAATACCACACCTCTGACTTCTTCACTGAAAGAGGCTGACACCATCATATGGACCCAACCATACGTCACCTCTCAGGTAGCTTTCACCATCCAGGAAGAAGCTGGATCGAACTGGCATGTGGCCAAGCTAACAGACTCCCTGTTAGTGAGTTACAGGATCAAACTTACTTCAGACAATCATGCAAAATCATTAGGCAGCTACCAGCAGATGCAAAAAAGGGCAAGAAAGAAGAGCATTTCACTGGCCTTATTGCCATGATGCAGTCCCTCATATGAATTATTACTTGTGCTCAGTTGGATTCACTCTTTTTTTTTTCCAATAGCACTTCAGGAATCTTTTCACATGCTTAATTTTCAGGGGTTCCTCAGAAAAGCAAAGGATCAGCACAGTGCTGGGATTCAAATAATTTAACAACCGGTTCTCTGCCCTAATGATTTATTCCAACAACCAGTTGACCAAACTGCTCAGAAAGATAACAACCAGTTCTCCCAAAGTGGTGCGAACTGGCTGAATCCCACCACTGGATCAGCACAAGGAGAAAGACCGCATAGAGACAATCAGAGCTAAAGCCCCAGTAACGTGTCCATTAGAAGCTGCAACCATGGATTCAGCAATAGCTCGTCAGACCCTCCAGAAAAACTCTAAGCTTCCTCAGGAAGCCCTTTGGCTCCATCAGTTATGTGGAATTGGATAATCTTTGAGTTGGGGAGACAGTTTGAGCTAATGGTTAAGGTACCAGGCTAGAAACAAGAAGACTGCAGATTTTATTCCTGCCTTAGGCATAAAAGGTGGCTGAGTGTCTTTGATCCAGTCACTCTCTCTTAGCCCAACTCAGGGGTCCCTAACCATCATTGCCGAGCCTAGAGTCTTTCAGAACCAGGCCGCAGAAATGACAGGCGAGCAGACACGCATGCTCCATTTGTGTAAGATGGCAGGTGCGCATGCCTGCCACTCATGTAAATGGAGCTTCTCGTGCATATGCGCTTGCTCAAATGAGCCCAGGGCCATTCCCTCTCCCCCTCTCCCCCAGTCCACAAAGCTGAAAAGTTTGGGAACTCTGGCCCAACTTACCTCACAGGGGAAATTAGGACATGTTATTAACTAAGATGCTAGCATATTATTAATATAGCTCAATATGGGAATTACAGTTTCAAACTGTGACTCAAACCACCTGAAATTCCAAAATTCCACTTGATCCACTGAGAAAGTCTGGTGCCTCTGAGACATGCTTGTTCCTCTGCTGTTTCCCAGCCAAACATCATAACCTGCGTCCGCAAATATAAAACCAAGGCTGTTGTTGGCCATGTTCTGCACCCAGTGACTGGCTTCTCCCAATATGCCATGTTGCAAAAAGACAACACGCTTTGGCTCTGTAGGATCTGCGGATTATATATTTTTTAAAATAAAATGTTTCCAAATAGAACGTTCAAGCCATGGCAACAAAATATTTTAAACAAATATCCATTCTTCTTAAACATTCATAATATTGTAGTATTTTTATAATTAATAACTTCATTAAGTTTTGCTTACATATTATTGAATTCTAGACTACATTATACAACCAAATATGCATGGGTCTGGCTATTGATTGAAACAGAGGCTTATTTTCTAATATTACCCATGAGGCACGTATAATAATATGTTTTGGGACCTAGAGGTTTCTGAAGTTGACTCCATTTTAGCATGTTAAATCTTGAAAATGTACATTTGTCCTTCTGCTTCGGCATGGCTATCGAATGCTTGATATCAGCTTAATAGATCCAACATTGACTTTGACTTTTTTTAAAAATGGATACCTATGACTGAAATGTTTTTTCTTCCCCAGGGAATTCTGTTTATTGTCAGATAATAACCATCCTCTGTCAAGACTTCATATTCTTCACTTGGGTAGCCATGGTGGGAAATTATCTGACTCTGAGAGAGAAAAAAATAACAATTAACTCTCACATAAGATTGAATATTTTTTTTCTAAAGCTAAAACCAAGCATCAGCTAGTGGAACATGTATAACACAAGCTCCCTCTACCAGCCCCCAAAAACTATATGTTCAGTGTTTAGTATAATAAAATACCAGAATTTGGAATTGTTTAGAAATCACCTCTCCCTCCTTCCCTCCCTCCCTCCCTTTCTCTCTCTCTCTCTCTCTCTCTCTCTCTCTTTCTACACACACACACACACACACACACACACACACACACACACTGACGAAGAGATGGAAAAGTCCAGACTCCACCAAGAACAGATCTGGATTTGTATTCACTATGGAAGGCCTACTGCTGTTTTCTGTTAAAATTAGGAATGCTGAAATAGTGACCCTTAACCCGTAAGTATGTAAATATGTGTGTAGATGTAGTGTTAATGGTGATGTAAGTTTTCCTGTATCAGTAACCTTGATTGCAGTGTTAACTAGGAATATACAATGGCAGTGGGTGGCATCATTGGAAGACCTGAAGAACCAGTTAGGGAGAGATCCTCATGGAGAAAATATGGTTGCTAAATATCAACACTGATTGGATGGCATGCAATCAATCAATTGGTATGAATATATTTGGAGGTTGGAAAAGAATGATGCTGATTTTGCTATAAGGGAGAAAACAAGTGGTCACATATAGGAGCATGTTTCAGACTGCCTTCAGCTTCCTCATTTATAAAATATAAATCATATAACTTACAACATTCATATAAACTTCAGGATTTGCATGTCCAAAAAGTTCTTCATAGCCAGTTAATCCTCGTATTAGATATGCTAATACAATAAAACTCCACATTTTCTTTTCTTTTTTTCTCCAGAGGATAAGAGAAACAGAAGAAATGAATCTCAAAAAAAACCAAAACAGTACAATTGACAAAATACATGCATTCATTTAAATCCTGACTCTAATTTTGAAGATACTGAAGATTATGGATGGATGGTTACAAACCTCTCTATTAGGGCAGCCATAAAAGCTATGACCTGACCCAATTACTATCTTTCCATTTAACATCAGCATTCTGAAACACCTAGCAAGCTTAAACATTTCCCTCACAATATTTACTTTACAATATTTACTTATTTAATTACAGAAAGTTTCACTGAGAAATAACTAATGGCTAGCTGGTTTTCTCACAAAGCCTACCCACTCCAACAAAATGAATCTCACCAGGAAAGTCAAACCAAATGCAGAAGAGATAAATATATTACCATCCAAAATTGTACTGCCACATTATGAAGGAGAAAAAATAAATAAATAGTTGGAAACTCCTTAGAATAATAACTGCAAATAAATACCTTCTTAGTTGATACTCGTTTAGTTTTTTGCTAGAGGTATCTTGCGCCACATTTCATCGCACTGTGAAACATTTAAAGCCACGGTAGCACAAAGGGATACTGTGGGTGGTTTCTTTAGATGTGGGTGGTAAAGGTGCTACTCTTGTGAAGAGCTTCATTGGTAACACCCAGTAAAATATTGGGTTCAATCAGGAAGAAGAGAAATGGATTGTGGTGATGAACCTAAAAATAATATTGTGAAGTTCTCATATTGTATCTTGTAATTCACAAAGAACACACTCTGTGGCAGGGAAAAGTGAATAATTTTTATCCTGTTTTGATGTACATCTTGTTATACATTGAGAATCTCACGCTTTAAGTCAACACGATTTAATTTTTGTGATTGATTCATGAGGGTGCTGCTCCTCTGGCCATACAGGCCACAAATTTGTGCCTACACAGATGTAATGGTTATGGAAATAATCCAATCAAAATATATAAGAGCTTAAGGGTTTGTCTTCAGATAGAACTGAGTTGTGTTTACATAGAAGCCCTCATGAGAATTTATCATTAGTAACCTTGCTTGAAGCAAATTTTCTGGGGAGAGTTCCTGCTTCAATCAATCTCATTGATCTTTCATTTTTGGTAAGTAATATAGCCTTCTCAAATTGTTTTATTGTGGCCTTTCAGTATTTGATTTCAATCAAATCCCTATTAAAGCTTCAGAGAAAGCTATGTCAAAGGTCAAATCGACTTAGATCTGGAGAATAACAGGTGCAAAGTTTCTGATTGTTATTATGGAGGCTTTTATTATAGACTTTTCACTATTTCTAATTAGTTTTTCTAACTTTCCCCACTCTTACATAGAACAACATTTACATAAGTGAAGTTTAAAGTTTTATCTTCAGGAATATTGAAGTGGGGATCCAGCAACATCCTACATTTGGAATGATTGTTTCTATTGTCAGGCAAGGCCATCAACATAGTTTTGCACATCTTGATGTGTGGCTCTTTTTATCACACTTGACACATTTGACAAATATTTACTTTTTTATTAAAAGAAGATTGGCCTGAAGCTGGGTTCTTTCCTTAGCAGACTGAACAACTGAACTGAAAGTTGCTAAATTCTGGGTTTATATCCATATTCTCAATAAGGCACTTTTAATATAGTGACTTTTAAAAGCTACATTAGCCTTAACTTTACTGTACCATAGAAAGACATGCCATCAGCTTCCGGTTTGGGTTTCTTCAGTGACAGACCGAAATCCACGATCATGTGTGGTTTCGATCTGTGCTCTCCACTGGAGCATCCCGATCCTTTGGATTTGGGGCTGAAGCCACCCCATAGAGGTGGTGAAGAGGGGGGAGATTGCTAGCTGAGTGGAGGGGAGCCGCATCTCTCCTCCTTGGCTGGTCTAAACTCCCTTTCCTGAAGGCAGTTGCAGCAGTGGTCAGAAATGGCCACCTCAAAGAAGAACCCGACTGGATAAGATTTTACAAGAGGAAGACAAAGAGGAAAGCAGGACAGACCAGGCTAAACAACAGAGAACATCTAAGCAAGGTACTCTGAATCTAAAAGTACTTAGAGGGATACTTCTGAAAGAAGACTTTTAAGCGGTGTAGGAGAGAGAAAAGGAGGTTAAAAACCCCCTTTTTACCCTTATATTGACAACTACAAATGGTATGGAAAGAAATATATATTAATCTACTTTGACACTAATAGCAACTTTAAGCTGAAATTTAAGTGTCAAAAGGAGAATAAAGATTTTTTCTTTGGTCATTTTAAAGCCCTAAAAAGGAGAAGAGTGGAGGCAAAAGGGTGGGACTTGAAAAAATGGAGTGCCACCTGGAAAAATAAACTGCGAAACTTTGAAAAGACTCCCGAGGATACATTGTAACTGAAACCTTATTAAAAGATTCAGTAACCCATGGAAAGGAAAAGGAAAGGAAAGAAACAAGAAGGAACAGTCTGGGATCATTTGGTGACATAAAAAATGGTTTTGGCATTGGTTTTTTCTTACTTTTTCTGTTTTTACTTAAAGTCAATCAGGTGGTTGTTCAAAAGTGTTCAAAATGGCATCACTCCTGGAGGAATTGAAGATGAGTCTTAAAAAACAGAAAGAAGATTCAGAAAGGGGAGGAAGATCCTTTGGCTTCGTATTTGAATTTTTTGAAATGGAGATCCTGAGCTATGAAAAGCAAAAGCTTCAATAGCAAGAAGAACGGTGGGACAAAGAAAAAACCATTTTCAATGATCAAATAATGCAAAGTGTGGTAATAAGGGGGGAAAGGGGGGGAAAGAGTTAAAAGTTTGAAATCAAACTTTCAATCTTGATGGCTTCTCTGATAATTCTTTTATCAGAATTATCAGAATTTTATCCGAATTATCAGAGAAGCCATAGAGATTGAAAAAAGACCTGAAAGCATGAATAGAAGAGATGATTCCACCAGACTGTCAATTATCTGGAAGCCTGCACTCTCAAACAAAAAATATCTCCACACCACAAGCCAGGCAAACATCTGGGCACAAACAAGACTCCCCCTGATACCTCCAGCTCAAACACACCCCAACCAGGCACCCAGATGAAACCTAGCTTCATAATAGATGATAGCCAAGCTGCACTAAAAGCCTCCAATACAGGAACACAATGTTGCCAGCCAGTCAAGACAAAAAAAGCCACAAAACAGACAGAAGATATTAGAAACTCCAAGACCAGCAAACTCCAAGACCAATAAACACAGGCCAAGACTCCCAACCAATCAGGGTGAAGAAAAAAAAACTATTCTGGCATAGCAGTAAGCTAGCCCCAAATTTAAAACTGAAACGGCTGTGAAAGCCTGACTCACAGATGAACACAATACAGAAGCCTGATGATGGCAGATGAGATTCTACCGAAACGTTGCTACAACTTTAAAAGCACAACTATAATGATGTGGGAAAATACCCGAACAAAGCTGAATACCATATATATAAATTATTTATATATAAATTGTTTTTGCTATGTTTTTAGAATTTTTCTTTTTACATTTTTAAGGGGAAGTACCAAGCAGTCTGAGATTTACATGATATAAAATAGATATTAGAAATTTGAATGTTATAATTTTATAATGCACAAATTTAATGTTTAATGAAATTTCATATGAAAATAACAATAAGACTTAAAGGTGTTGCACTCCGATTGGCAATCATAGAAGGAATTTTGCTTTTTAAGAATGTTGGAAGATAACATAATGAAATTGTAAACAAGACAGATGAAAGTATAAGTATAATGAATAAAAAGATATAGAAATTTAGGTGAAAGAAATACAATTAAATAAGAAGAAAATGAGATAATCATAAAAGAAAATTAAGAGAAGTAAAGGGAGAAATAGTGATAAGTTGGAAAAAGAGTAATAAGATATGAAGTTGAATATATAAGATGAATATGCATATGAATTGTGTCTGTATGGAAATGTGATAACCCGGAAGCATGGTGTACTCAAATAAGATGTTTTATTTGTTTTGTTAAAACTGAATAAAACTTTATTAAATTAAAAAAAGAAAGAAAGACATGCCATCCAGAATTCAGGTCTTGCTCTTCTAGTTCTAAGATTCTTTTATTTCTCATCAGCAGGAATTATCCCTTCACCAAAACCAGGTAGCAGGATGAAAAACACCCAATCCTCTT